AAGAAAAGAAAAGAAAAGAAAAGAAAAGAAAAGAAAAGAAAAGAAAAAAGAAAAAAACAGCGTCAGAGAAGCAACTGACAGAGCTCCAAGACTCAGAACAATAATCTTTTTTTGATGCCATTTGCCTTGCCCTACTTCCTGCAATGAATAGACACGGGAGACAGAGACTTCTGGATGCTTCATCAAAACCCAACACTGTTCTTTTTCATTCTTGTGATTCCTTTCGTTGGTTCTGCCCCTAACATCTTTTGCAGAATTGTTCACAGCTGACAGATTTTCTGTTTGGAAAAGTTTTGGAAATATCCTTCTCTAACTGGAAGTTAAGCCAAAGGAAAGGATGCTAGTGAGAACGCCAGACAACTCACTTGGTCCTGAAGTCATCTGCAGCCAGCTTGGCATTGTCAATCTGCACCACCAACCTGCTGTTCTCAGATTTGTTGCACAGGATCTGAGGAAGGAGAGACCACATGAAAGAGTGAGCAAGAAAAATAAATATAAGACTGTCAACTTCCCTAAAGATGGCTTACCGTTATTTTTAATGGAAAAGTAGAGATCATTATGAGATGCAAATGAAAAAAGCAGTTCTCTACCTTAGGCTAAGAACCCATAGCAAGTTGCCATCACCTAGACATTACAGCAAGGCCTCTCACCTTCTGCTGCAGCTCCTCGATGGTCCTGAAGTAGGACTGGTAGGCAGGACACACCAGGGGGTCCTGCTGCTGGTTCCTCTGCTGGATCTGGCTTTCCAGCTCTGCATTCTCTCTCTCCAGCTGCCTCACCTTCTCTATATAGGAGGCCAGGCGGTCATTCAGTTGCTGCATGGTCTCCTTCTCATTGCCGTTGAAGGAGCCCTCGCAGAACCAATTACAGTTGCCCACGTTGGCGGGAATGTTGCAGGCCCCTGGCAGGGTACAGCCGTGGCAGCTGGGGGGCACGCAGGGCCGGGAGGAGCAGCTGGTGCGGCAGCTCATGGTGGGCAGGCAGCAGTTGTATGGCATGGTGCTGGAGGGAGTGAGGTGCCTGGCTAAAGACACAGTGTGGATTCTCCAAGCCTCAGAGCTCTGGGTCTCCTTCCTCTGGTGAGCATTTATAACCCTTCTACAGAGGGTGTGGACACAGTATGTCACATCTTTTTTTTCTTTGTACTTCTTCAGTGATTTTCAGATGCCCTCCTCTCCAGTCTGTCATTTGCTTCCCTCAGAAGAGTCCCTGGTCCCATAAAACTCTTTACTTGAGCTTCTTGCTAGGTCAGGACTCTTCTTCAGCCATTACACCCATAAAATCAGAGTTCTGCGGTAGACCTTCAAAGAAGCCACACAGTCCAGGCCTGGTCAGTTGGGCGTTGGTCCATCCAGTGACATTCTTATGTGTTACAAGATCCTGAAGTCCCATAATCAACCTCATGCCCTGGCCTACCTGGCATTTCCAGAGAGAGAGAGAGAGAGAGAGAGAGAGATGGATTGGTTGAAGAAACAAATTACATTCAGTTACAGCCATCAGCTCTTGTTCCTTCTGATGAGAGAGAATGCTCTGAATGTTGCAGCACTCCAAGCCAAGGATGGATGACTGTGGTGGTGATGTGGACTGATCTGAGCCTTGGCCATGAGAGCTGTTTGGGATGTACAGACCATGTAATGGCCTCATTTATTTACTTTAGAGATGGTAGAGGCTTTGCTAATAACCTTGAGAACAGAGAGGTTTCTGGAAGAAGAGACCATTTTGAAAAAGGTCTGAGAGATATTAGCTGTAAATTCACTTAAACTGTCCAGGAAAAGAACTGTAGAAGGAATAGGGAAATGTTCATCAAATTTTTGCATGAGGCATCAATCAAAACAGAATGAATGGGTTTGTTAGGAAGGTCAAGAAATAACTCAAAGGGAATACAAGTCTGTGGTAGGTAGGGTAGGTAGAGCACTTGCCTATTAAATGCAATGACCTGGGTTCAATCACCAGCAAAATAAAGAGCCCAAAGGGTTCTCCACAGGCAAGAATTACTTTACCTTAAACCTTGAGTGAACTGGTTATATAGTCTGTAACATACCCATGTTGACTTTGACATTAAAAATCACTTGGAAATTTCCAGCTAAACTTTCCAACATTCTGACCAGTTCTCTAAGTTCAATGTATGTAGATGAAGTAAGTATTCTGCTCTGGGAATCCAGGCTCCAGCATACAGCTCCTTCTGATTTGCATACTGATGGTCTAAGGACCAAAAGCTCAAAATATGAAAGGGGGGCTACGTTGTATGGTTGAATCCAAGAATTTAGGTGCTAAGAAAGAAAATATTGAGATACCCTGTAAGCACAAAACTTTTTCAGAAGGGTGGGGGAGCAGAGAATCAAGCTAGAAATTGGTGGTGGTTGACAGGACCAGAAGATCTGAGGATGACGTGGCCCAAATAGGGAATGTATAAAAGTTATGTAATTATAGTCACTGCCAAATACCACCTGAGTCTCTAGAACACCACCCCAAGCTCCTGTGGCTTTGGCTCATAGCCAGTGCTTCTGTTTTACTGACAACTTATTGGAGTTGTTCTCCACAGTGAGCTTTCATGATAGTCTTCAGGTGGCTGGAGGCTCCGATAAAAGGTCTGCATTCTCCAAGACCATTATCCCCCACTTATTGTGAAACCATTCCAATTTTTAGGGGCTGAGAGCACTACAAAGCAATAGTAATAAAATCAAACTTTCTTTGTTGTTTTTTTCCCCCAAGACTATTAAAGTGGGAGAAATAGGCGGTTCTGGAGACAGGTACCACTCAGATTTTCCAGAAGGACGCCACTGGCAGCAGCACTGGCAGTCAGCAGAGAGCTTCTGCTGTCTTCCATCAGAGCTTGGAATGATTGGCAAGGTGGCTGCATCTGAAGATGAGAAGCCATGGGTAAAAAGCAGCACAAACCTCTGACTTCCCAATGCCAATCGGACTGCTCCGAGGCACTGGCTTTCCAGCAAAGGGCTGCTTCCTCGGTCTGCCTTCTTCCCCATTCAGGAAAGCTTTACTCTGGGCACATACATACTGAATGTCTTCAGCATGCTCCAACCCCTTTGGTCTTATCCATGGGCTGCCCAGTGTAGCCCCCTAGAGAACTTCACCAAAGAAGAAGGTTTAGGTGTTCCTTAGAAGAAAATCCACAGATTTGGTTGTCCAAAAGGACAAAAACGGAATCCCAACAATACAAAGAGATCAAAGACGTGGACGCAGATGGAGACAAGGAGAACAAAGAGAAGAAAGCAACAAAAAGGAAACCTGGAAGGGAGCCCCAGAACCGTGCAGAGCTGCATGAGTCTGACAGAGCTAGCCCACTTTCAAATGGGCTAACTGGAGAGTGCAGAGCTGAGAAGTTACCAAGATGTACAGAACGGATGGTCAGAAAAACAGCTGTGCTGCCGTGTCCTGTGAGAGTAAATGGAGAACAGCCCTGTAAGACTCGCAGACACCGAACCATGGCTTCTGAGGCCTCTGAAGGACCCACAGTGTCCAGAGCAGACCATCATCTCCATTGTCCAGTCTCCACTCTGGTTGCAGCTGAAATATTCTGTTGTTTGCATGCAGGCAAGGTAAACTCCAAGAGCAACAATGCCATTTGTTCCTGACCAAGTATGGAGTACAGGGTGGGGATGAAACAGGGAAGCGATGAGGAACAGTCAGCCTTGTGAGGACATCTGTTCCTAACGGAGTGTGGGGAAATGAAAGTGGGCAGGAACAGGAATAGTCTGACATGCACTGGCTTCAGGTGTTGGACAAACATCAGTCACACAGAAGATGTGGGAGACCAGCTCACCTCTGTTGCCTGCTACCTACTCCTGGAGATCTCCCGTTCCCCTGCCAACTGACCGGGGCAGAGAGTGACATGAAACAATTCAGAATGGAGACCTCAGCGGGTGAGTAAGCCCAAGGCTAAAATCCCTTGTTGTCCAGCCTCCCTTACAGTGGTTTCAAAACAGCGACCAGCTTGAGTAGATTTGCCTCTGGCACTAATAAAGAAAATGAGACCCCAGGCTTAAAAGTTCCCTTGACCTCATTCGGGCTAACAGTACATTTCAGTGACTTTTCTGATTTCTCAATTGGCATATTTGTATGTTTTAATCCTTCTAAGAGAAACTGAGCTCTTCAGGGACCCTCAAGCCTGCCTTCCTTTATCAAGTGAATGGGAAATAGATTCATTAGGCACTAGAACAGAACCAAATTGAAACAGAAGACTCATAGCTGGCAAGGGATTCCCTGTTTATAAATAATTCAGGCCAATCAGCCCCAAGATTGGATATTAAAAGTAAACAAGAAAAAGACAGGCGGAAGTGAGGAAATGGGATATTTCAAAGGTGTGATGTGACATTTGGAAATATTGTTGTATTTGATCTAGTTTTAAAATTACACATAAGATGTTAATTGCAGCAAGCACTTTCTGACTATCCACTGGGTGTCTAGCATAGTCGTAGAAGCAGGTTCATGGTGGGTATGGAATATGATGTGTTCTTGCCCCTCCTGGAGGTCTCAGGGATACAAAATGCCATGTAATTGGGCACGTCAATAAAACATCCTTTTACCCACCACTTCTCCCCCAACCTGTCACTTGCCTCTTATTCCATTTGGACCATTTCCATCCAGTTCATGGTTCTCAAACATAGGGTGAAAGGATAGATCACTTTCTGATTAGTAACTATTGTTCTCCCTAGTAGTCTTCTTCTTCTTCTTCTTCTTCTTCTTCTTCTTCTTCTTCTTCTTC